GAACATGACCTCCATAGAACTATTCGGGGCTGCTACAAATAAGATTAAATGGGCAAATGTAATGGCCAACGTCCTTAAAGATGAGACACCGTAAGAAGAAGAAGATTGTACTCGATGGCCTTTTCTGTGATTTGTCTTAATACAAGTACGGCGTCGACGCAGGATCTTCCGGATCTGAATCCTTGTTCATCTGATAAAGTTGTTAGTTTATTGGTTTGGTTGGTTAGGACTTTTGTTGTAAGTTTAAATGCGGTGTTCAGTAGATTTATACCTCTATAATTGTTGGAGTCTTCTTTATCTCCTTTCTTGAACATTGGTATCATTATGCTGTTTCTCCATGCGTCTGGTATCTTGCAATGCAATATTAGTTTTTGTATAAGTTTTGTCATCTCTAGGGTTATACTTTCTTCTCCGTGTTTTAGAAGCTCGTTGGTTATTCCGTCTGGTCCTGGTGACTTTCTATTTTTGAGTGAATGTATGGCTATTTCTACTTCCTGAAAACTTATTTCTATTTCGTGTCTTAATTCAGGTACTTTATTGTGTTGATTATAATTTTCCTTTGCTTTAAACAGTTCCGTCAGGTATCTTTCTCATTCGTTTGCTGGTATGTTATTGTATTCCTTAAATTCTTCCATTTCTTTCCGTTGGTTTCTTATGAATCCCCATATTTATTTTTGTGTACCGTAGAAGTCGCTTTCCATCTATTTTGTTAGCTGTTTCCAGTGTTTATTTTGTGTTCTTCTTACCAACTGCTTTAACGAGTCTTGTAACTGCTTTGTTTTATTTCGTATTCTTCTATAGTTGTCTCGGAATTCTAGGGTATTTGATGTTTTGAACTTCGTGTAGGACCGAGAGGCCTACACAAAGGGTATATCAAGGAGAGTTCTTCTAGCTGGATCGTTTTGTTCCATCCGCATTACATGCCCTATCCACCTCAGACGTCCTATCTTAATATGTTTTACGATATCTGGTTTCTTGTATATTCTATAAATTTCGAAGTTGTATCGTCTTCTCATACTCCATTGTCATTCACTACTCCATAAATTCGCCTTAGTACTTTTCGTTCGAACTATCCTAACCTGAGTCCAGGTCTTTAAACCATATGTTAGAACTGGGTGTATTATTGTTTTGTAATTTTATTTTTGTATTTCTCGATATAATTGTGGATTTAAGGAGATTGAACCCGTATTCTATAAATAGTGGTCGTATGATTTGTGGTTGCGTGCTTATTTTCATATACTTCGTTTTGTTTGTGTTTATTATTAAACCCATTTTTGTAGCTGATTCTTTTAATGCTACGACCCGAAAAACAAAATACTCCAGTCTTTGTAGAAGACTTGTCAGAGTTTAAGACACTCGAAACATTTTTTATTGCTTTTAACCTGGAATATTTTCCCAGTAGTCTTCAATAAGCTATTTTCCCAAATTTTCCACTGTGTGGTAGGTATACCGTACATTGGTTCAGGACCGATAAAAGGAGTAGCAAATGATAATTTATTTGGAGTTCCATTTTGCAGTTTCAAACGGTTTTGGAATTCAGAGTCTTCTTCACAGCATGATTGTCAAAGGTAATAAATATGTTAGTTGAATTGGTATGTTTTACACACACTCATCTTCTTCTTTCAGTACCCTGTCCGATTATCGAACGTTGGCGATCATATTGGAAATAATAACTTTGTTTACGGCGGCTCTAAATAAAGTAGCGGTGGTCTCTTGATACCATTCGCAGATATTTCGGAGCCAGGATGTTTTTCGTTGGCCTGGGCCTCTCCTTCCGGCGATCTTACCCTGTAATATGAGGTGAGAAGGTTATACCTCTCTGGATGTCTCGTCACATGACCGAAATATTGTAACTTTCGAATTTTTATCGTTTTTGTTATTTCTGTGCTCTTTTTCATTCGATGTAAAACTATTTTATTTTTTTTCGACCAACCCAACTTATCCGCAATACTCGTCGATAAATCCACATCTCAAAGGCCTCTAATTTTGTCATTAATGTCTCAAGAGTCCACCTCTCCATACCATACAGAAATGTGGAGAAGATGTAGCAGCGTATTAATCTGATTTTAAGGTTTAACGTAATATATGTATTCATTAGAATTTTTTTTTTAATATATAGAAGGGCTCTGGCATTTTTAAGGCGTATTCTTATTTTTTTATTTATATCCCAGTTATCGTTAACATTTGCACCCATGTAGGTAATATTGTGGACTTGGTTGTAACTCCGTTTTGCTGACAAACATAAGTTTTATCTTAGAAGTATTAAGTTTTAGCCCATATTCATCACATGCTTTGGTTATCCTGTTTATAAGTCGTTATTTGTCTTCTTCATTGGAGGCAATAAATACCGTGTCGTCTGCATATCTGAGATTATGGACATTAATTCCGTTGATTTTAATGCCTGTATCTTCACCTAAGGCTTCTTTGAAAATAAATTTGGAGTAGATATTAAAAAGGAGATGCGATAGAATACATCCTTGCCTCACTCCACGTCGTATTTCCACTGCTTCCGTCGTGTTGTGTCCAGCTCGTGTGTTTGCACATTGATGCCAATACAAATTTTTGATAATACAGAGGTCTCGGTCATCAATTCCCACCTGTTGCAAGATACCTATAAGTTTGTCATGGTTTACTCGGTCATAGGCCTTTTCGAAGTCACTCTTCAGCACACAAAATCTATTGCTAGTAAAACCTATCAGGATAAATAAGTGAGGGCATTAATTGTTGTTTTTGTCTTGAAATACGCTAGTTTATGATACTCTTTAGGAAGAGTTAGAAATCTTGTATTGCAGCGATAATGTAGCTCAAAATATTTATGAATTGCGTTGTTTCACCTGTTAATGTCGCCAATGTCCAGTCCGGTATTTAAGTTTTAGATACTGAAGCCTGTGTTAGCTTAAAGGTACTCTTTAGGGCTATCTTTCAACATAAGGCCTTATTGAAGCCCTCTAAGCTTAATTTCAGATACCGATCTAAGCACACATAATGTCAACACGTACTAGCTGGCCATGTGCTAGTTGATTCTGAAAGCGCGAAAAGCTATTTGTTTATTGCTTGTTAACTCAGTTAAAAAGAAAATTTCATTTTTTCAATAGTAGGTTCATTCTGTTATGTTGGTTAAATTGGTATGTTTTACAGGCACTCTATAATGATATTTTTCCTTGAAGTATCGAATATTTAACTATATAAAAATGTGTAATAATTATAATTGTTACAGCACTTAGTACAAAAAATGTATTGCTAGTAAAACCATTGAGAATAAATAAGTGAAAGCATTAATTGTTGGTTTTGTCTTGAAATACGCTGGTTTATGATATTTAGAAACGCTATTTAGAAAGAGTTAGAAATTTTGTTTTGCAGCGATATTGTTGCAACATATTTATGGACTGTGTTGTTCCAACTGACGATGCCGCCGATAACCAGTCAGGTTTTAAATACTGAAGCCCGTGTTAGCCTAAAGGTACTATTTGGGTACTTTTCAACATAAGGCCCTAATGGAGTCCATAAGCTTCCTATTAAGCCCTTAAATAGAATCTATTTTAAAATTTCAAATACTGCTCTAAGCACACGTAATATCAACACGTACTAGTCCACCGCGTGCTTGTTGAGTCTGAAAGGGCAAAAAGCTGTTTGTTTACTGCTTGTTAACTCAGTTAAAAAGAAAGTTACTTTCATTTTTTTTTTCAATAACAGATTGTTGAAATACTTTCAAACTTTTTATTTGTGTGCAGTTGTTAGAGAAATATGCAACATGTAAAAAGTTATAAAGACTCAAAGTTAGACTAGATCTTCTATTTCTCGACTTAAAATTGTTAATAACTTTTAAACTATAAACTATTTATATATTACATATATATATTATTTTTAATGTATTTTAGCCGTTCTTTACGAGAGGGCTAGTTGTAAATAAGAATATTCGAATTTAAAAATTTATTAATAAAAAAATTGTTTATAAAATTGGTACCACTTTTTGAGATGGAGGACCTACATATTCGTATTTAGCGAAACATTTTAAATAAGATAGATTAGTTTTCAACTATCCACCCTTGCATGCATCAAGCTGCCGAACTAAAACGACAAAATGTAAAAACTGTTTCAAAGAAATTCGTAAAATGATTAAAAAAAAGATAATGCTTTGACGCGACCTATTCACAAATCTGACTTGATAATAAATCGAAATGAAGTTCAAAAGAATCATTTATCTCTCAGACAAAAACTGGAGTATTATTACAAATGAAGTAATGAAAACGTATTTTATCGTTTTATTTTGATATAAAAACTTCATAATTCTCTTTTAATACTTCACAATCTGCATTAAAGTTCGTCCCTAATAACGGCCTTCAAAGATAAGCTGAAATCATTTGGAAGTGACAAAACAAGAGAGGATGGAAGTTCTCTGAAACGAAAATCATCGATTTTATGGTTCAGAACACATCAATATTGAAACAAAAGCAGACTCAAAATAGGTTAGTCTGGAAAGAGAAGAGGAGCACCAGCAGAAGTTTTTATAGCGTGTTATTTTCAGAAACAGGTGATGTGTAATCTACCGAGAAGCTTGCACTGGAGAAAAAATCGCAGATAATTGATTACCATTAAAGCCGGTTTGCATCCACATTTATATCGACTGTTAACAGTTATACAGAATGTCTCTAAAGTAATCTAATATACTGTTGTGACTGAGTTGTCATTAAACTTTAAGATTAAAAGTTCCATAAATCTGTGTGATCAATTTTGTCGCTGTTGAGATACAAGGTATTGAATATTTTTGTAGAAACTAGTTCAACTGTCAATGATATCAATTGTCATTGCATTATTTTGGTGACAGAAAGAAGGATCTATTCTACCTCTATTTTATTTTCCTTAGAAGTTATGAATCTGCTGCGGATATCTCAAGGGTTCTTACAATATTGATTTCGAACTTTATGGACACCGATATTTGAATTTATTAAATAAGGTTTTGATCATAATTGAATTAAATACAAAGAAATCTATTCTCTTACCTTTAAATAATATTTTCTCTAGGTATATCAAAACGCCATTAATATCTAGTATCTTACCTGCAACAAAATAAATAAAAAAATTGATATAAAAATGAAACATATGGTTACCGCATATATAGTCATAAAAAAAAAGAAATTATGAAGATCATGGAATCGTTAATTCTACATGTCGCTATTTATATTAAGTTAAGTAGCATATTCACAATTCTTAATTAATGACGTGACATTTTTGGTTTGACATATCATTGTAGGGTTTGGTTAAGCCTTTATTTCAGACAAGCATTTTTGGAAAAATTTAACAAATGATATTTAACACGGCAATTATTATCGAATATTATTTCTCTCGATCAGATAGCCAAGCGAGCTGTGCGGCTGGCTTCTCATTCGCTTCAATGCGAGATATTTGATCATTTGATCAAATCATTTGATATATATTTGATATAGGCCGATATGATCATTTCGGCCTATCCCAACCATCGTCAGACAATTGGGTTATAACACTTTAGTAATACCAATTCGAGCACGGGAAGTTTAACGAATTTGTCTCCTAGGCCATATATTTGGCCTTTTTATATAATAAAGCGATATCGACTTTCGCTAAAAGATTTAATCTTTCACATTTCGCATAGTGCTAAGGATACAGAAAACGATATTATCATATCGTTTCGTTCACGGCGACCAAAGCAGGGGGCGCTTTTGTAAGCTAACTACGCTGTAGTGAAGTTCTGGGAGACATTCGTTTTACTTTCCGAGTTTGAATTTGTATCAGCCCAAGTGTCTGACGATATCTGGGATAGGCCGAAATGATCATAACACTTTAGTGATACCGATTCGAGCACGGGAAGTTTAACGAATTTGTCTCCTAGGCCATATATTTGGCCTTTTAATATAATAAAGCGATAGCGGCTTTCGCTAAAAGATTTAATCTTTCATATATATATATATATATATATATATATATATATATATATATATTATATATATATATATATATATATATATATATAATATATATATATATAGCAAAACTGGTAGGATTATCGACCGAAACGTAAATAACAATTTATTGTTTTGGAATATCAGGTATGCGGTCTGTTATTAAAAAAAAACTCTTTTTTCTTTTATTACTCTATATTTCGCTGATTTTTGTCAGCTTCTTCAGGAGATAACTAAAATATGGTTAAAATTTTATATACATAACAGGTGATAATAAACAATGAATATACTTACAGATTAAGAGTTAAAATATTTAAAAATGTTGAACATAATATATTCAAAACAGTACTGATAGTATTAGTCAAAAGCATCTAGTCACTAGTAATTAAATATAACAAAAAATATATATAATAAATAAAAAACAAAAACAACCAAGAAACAATAATTTTATTGTGTTTTTATTGTTTCTTGGTTGTTTTTGTTTTCTATTTATTATATTTTTTTTGTTATATTTAATTACTAGTGACTAGATGCTTTTGACTAATACTGTCAGTACTGTTTTGAATATATTATGTTCAACATTTTTAAATATTTTAACTCTTAATCTGTAAGTAAATTCATTGTTTATTATCACCTGTTATGTATATAAAATTTTAATCATATTTTAGTTATCTCCTGAAGAAGCTGACAAAAATCAGCGAAATATAGAGTAATAAAAGAAAAAAGAGTTTTTTTTTTTTTAATAACAGACCGCAGACCTGATACTCAAAAACAATAAATTGTTATATATATATATATATATATATATATATATATATATATATATTTCTCTATAGATGTAAAAGTAAACGGCTAGTCATAAACAAGTGTGAATTGCAAATTGAATTTATAGAATGAAGATTTGACAACAGTATCTGTGATATTATTGATAGCAGATTAAAAAAGCAGGAGCACTTAAATCCGATCTCCAACTAGATATTTAATTAAGATTTAAACATTTGTAATGTTTTTTGTGGCCCTCTCATAGACATATAATACAAGATAGACTGATCGTTGCAATACCAGCTCGTTTCTCCACTAAGACAGATAAATCTTACGCAATGTAGTTCCTACATCTCTTTTTAATCTTCCAGATTATCGACCATGTAATCTAAGTGACCAACGAGGAAAACACGTGGTCGATAAACACAGTCAATTAAAAAGAGATACAGGGATTGCTTTACGTCAGTTTTCTCTGTCGCAACATGGGAACGGGTTAGCTATGTACCATGCCCATCTCTATTTTAGTCTGGCTATCCTTTCGACGACGTCAGTCACGTTGGTTCTTCTCCTGACCTCTTTGACTTTTCTTTTGTTTCGCATTGTTATTCCTAACATGGATCGCTGCATTCTTCTCTGTGCGACTCTCAGTTTGGTCATCGTAAAAGTCTCTTACGATTACAAAAAATACTAAAAACAATTATTATCCCTCATGCACGAAAACGATTTTTTAAACAAAGTGCGTTACCTATATTTCTAAAAGACATCGCGCCACATGATTTAAACGAGCAATTTTTATTCCAACATTACAAATATGTCTCCCGTTTTCCAATTTTTAAAGATACACGTGTCACGTAATCGCAAATGAAGATGAAGTGTAAATGTCATCTGCTTATCTCTCACTATAAATGAGATCCCACATGGAGATTAAATAATTTTCCAGGAAACTCAGCGAACTGCAATTTTTAGAGTAGCTAAATTTATCGCCGCAAGAGTGTAAGTAATATTGTAGAAGTTTTAGGGGAAGCGATATAAGGTATTTTATAGTGGGTTATTTATAACGAATATGCAAATATCTTTCGGTAAAAAGTTGAAAGGATTAAAAAACTTATATTTAATTACGTCTAATGTTTTTGTCGATTTTTATAAAAGGATACAATTTATAAAAGGATACAATGTGAATATTAAGATAAGCGATCTAAGATATTTTATACTGGGTACTTTTTTATTGTACAGTATTATCTTGTAGAATTACAAGACAAATTGTTCGTTTCTTTGGCACCAAACTGATAAAATTGTCTACGTAATAAACTCGATTTAAATTTGATTTTATTAATATTAGAAGTCGTTAATTTCTGCATTTTATAATTTTTGTTTTATATTTTTAATATCCTTAACTATACTAAAACAATGTTTAATTGAAGGTGATTACTTGGCAACATCGCACTTAAAGCCTCGAAATCATATTATATTTATTAACGTTGCAGGGGCGTACCAAAATAATATTTCTGTACATGGGAAGCATAGTATCTTAAGTCACATTTTCATAATTTTACAGGAGGAGCACTTAAACATTATATTTGATGTATGTTCAAAAAATGAGAAGTAATTAATAATTGTAGCGGAAACTATTGTCGGTATTTAAAAATAGTATTATATATAGTTTGCTGTGGTATTATGAAAGTAATGTAAGTGTTTAAAGATAATAAAATAATGGACTTAGGATATATTACCTCTAAATTATAAGATTCCTTATATTTATAATATACCTACATATACTAAGTCCTTATAAATTGGTTATCTGTGTAAAAAAACTCGTCAATATTTCTTTATTACATACAGTTCTCAAATTACATGTCATCATTATCCTTATCCATGGTATACGATGGCAAGTATAAGAGTAAGTCCATAAGATCACTATATCTTTTTGTTGATATAAAAATCCATTGCATTTTCTTTTGTGGTAAAGTTTCTGGCAAAATAATATCATCTCTTTTATTTCGTCTTAAGTCAACCATTTGAGAAGTGTCACTGTTGAATGAAGTTTTATATTGAAGCATTCCAAAATTTTCTTTGGTAACACGTAAGATCACTGATTTTGAAATTTGAAATGTCTCTCTATCAGTATTTATTTTCTGATTAATAAATGGACCTGTTGAAGAATGTTTCCTTTCAATATTAGCAGATACTGAATCGGATTCCATATGCATGTGCCCTTTTAGAAGAAATTTACAATCTATTACTTGTAGTTTGGGATATCTTTGAATGAGGTAAAATGCACACATAACTACACATAGGTTTTTGGTCTGTCCCCAACAGTTATCTGCCCATATGGTTACACATTCGACGTCAGATGAAGGAATATTTAGATCAGCCCACTTTAAAATTCCCGAAGCAATTTCATTTCCTCCTCTGTTTGCTTTGGTTTCATCCCACATTACACAATACGCAGCACTATTATATCCATCGTATAAAGTGTAATTCAAAGTCCATAATTTTCGCGTATAAAAATTCACACAATCTTACCCTTCTTACCAACATAGGCCCTTCCACCAGCATAGTTTCTTTTTCTCTCATTCGCTTTCCAGTTAAGAACATGTCGTGTTCGTTTCTTTCCTGTCTGCTTTATTTTTGTTTTATTGACGACTTTTCTTTTGGTCACTAGACGATTAGGATTTATAGTATCTTCTAGTGTATTAGTTAAAGAGTCTGGTATACCATTAGATGTACTTGGCACACCTTCTGGAAATGCCGATAAAGGTACAGGAAACCTACTTCCACTTTCATCTGAATCAGTGTCCGAATCTGGTTGATAATCTTTATCCTTTATTGAGTCATCGCTGTCACTTAAATAAAGGTTGGCACTTAACACTGAACTTTGTTTAGAATGCTTTTCTTCTGAAACAGTAGCCGATTTGATGGCTGCATCTTGGCCGCATGTATCGCTAAGTTCGTGATGTGGCAGGGTTTCTTTATTTTCACCTGCAATAGAAAGTTTCGTTACAACGGAAGCAAACTTTAAATAAAATAATTATTATTAAAGATATTTTTATTAACATTTAGAAAAGAAGTAAATATTACATTTATTTTTTCACGACTGACTGAAAAAAAATAATAATTTAATGATAAAAACTTACCTTTTTGTAATCTGGGGTCTGTATTTAAAGACAGGTATGTCGGAGAGCGACAAATCTAATATCCTTAAACCCTTTTGCGAAAAGCCATTTTTAAAGCTATAAACGACTCACTAAATACCTTTTCTAATATAACACGCTTTCGACTTTAAATCTGTTATCTGTTTGCTATGCTGGTACGTTAAAAACTAAATAATATTATTTTCAGAATGCGCCTGCTTGTCATTAATGACGATTTTTCGTTAAAATACTGCTTAGTACAACCTATTAAATTAAGTAACAATTAAATCCAATCTCCAAAAGACATAAACACAATAAATTAGGGCGGCCTGTAAACCATAAAATTACTAAACCAATATTGTAAACAGTCTCCACTTGATGTGCACTTAATATATTATGCATTTAACTTGAGTTTGTTTTAAAAATATTAAGTTCAACAAAAATGCACACGTGTGTGTATATTTTATTATATACTTGATATATTTTCATTGAGAAGCATATGATCCTATAGTGGACTTAGAATCCAGTTCATAATATTTCATTTGGAGGAATATAAGTTTAAGTCCAGATAAGATTATATACCTCTACAGCAAACTGGACATAGTATACATAGTTTCTCGTCTAATTTCGTTTCTAAAAGAGTTAAGACTTAGTGTAGTATTCCCCTGAATAATATTGGGTATTGCGATCCCGGTTATGCAATAATGTATTTTTCTGAAAAAATGTACTTAGGATAGTATACCTCCCATATACAGATTTTAATTATTTATTTAATCACAGTAAAATTTTATTGTTATTATAAAGAACCTAATACAGTACTTCAAAAGACAGAGACCTTTGCAAAATACTTATTCTTTTAATTAGACTAAACAATCTGAAATTTAAATATACAATTTCGTTATTACACTTCATTCTTTATTTCAGTGCACGAGATGCAAAACTCGCTTAATGCATGTAAAGTCAATTTGAGAAAAGTGCAAAAAACGTTTTTTGCATTATATTTTTTAATAACCAATTAATGATGTTAGCGTGCCTTTAGAACATATACACCTCTAATAGTTTTTAACATATTTTAACAAAATAGTGCAGATTTTTTAAATAAATGAAGAAAAAAGAATGCATTTAGCGAGTTTTGCACCAAAAAATGTTACATCAATAGTTTGAAACAAATTTTATTCACAAAGAAATTAAACAGTGATTTACATATTACATTAAATTGGTAAATTAACATCGCAAGGTTTTAAACCACTGCAGCCAGCTTCAACATCGTTTACAGAATTTTGGTTTTCCACCATTCGAGGGTTAACAAGATCTTCTTTAAAGAAAACCAAATCAGGATTTTCTTCCCAGGCGTTTCCATAATGTTTTTTGAGAAGAGAAATTATTGTCGATTTATCGCCTTTGAGTTTGCAGCCAATAGGAAGTTGAGTAGGATTGATACGTGTCAATTTTATTCCTCTCTTGACAACAGACTTGGCTTCACCGACGTCAACACAATAATTGGGCTCACCTCGTATTAGTGCATTGGTTTTCCCTTTAGTAAGCACAAACCTTTTAGCCTTATTAAACTGAAAGTGCCATGAGGATGGTGCTTTGGTGTTTACTTGTGCTTCATTCTTCCAGTCATACACCTGCCAATCTAAACCCAATTTTCTAATTGTCGACTTATTTGCTATAATATCTTCGTAGTCAGAAGTTTTTAAAATAATGGATTTCTTTTTAACCTCTCTTTAAATTATTCCGAATAACCTATCAGGTGGTATAAAAGAATGTCCTACTACGGGGAATATTATGTTAATGGTCTTTATGTTTTTGGGAGCTTTCTTCATCAACCAAACAGAAAGCATGGTCATCATTATAATATTCTTATTTTGCCCCCCACATCCATCAGCAAATAAACGAATTGTATCGATTTCATTGGGAAAGGTAAACTTATTCAGTACATCCCAAACAGCTGAAGCTATCGAATTAGAATTTTTGGTGGGAAAATCAACCTCCGTCCAAACATAAGAATAAACATTTTCTGGAACCAACTGTGCTGCTGATGATCCATGAATTACCGTAAAGTTGTAATAGTTAATTTGTTGACTAAAATAACTAGCTTGATCCGGAAGCTTCGGCAAAGGCAAATTTTTCTGACAATCAAACGAAAAAACCGCTGTATTTTCTAGCGGCTGCTTTAATAAGGCAAAAAATGCCTTTTGCTTTAAGTCTATGTATCCGTTGCTCGGTGATAATAATTTGCTTTTCTGAACTAGAAATATTTTTGTTTTTTAACTTTTCCTTCGATCTTAAGCAGGTTGAGCATAAATCAGTTTTTGGGGTGCCAAATCCGATGTTGTATACTCGGCACGTAATTTCGTAAGAAAATTTACAGAGACCAAAACAAGCAAAATACTAGTAAAATGGCAACGCTGTTAGAGTTACCACTCCTTTTATGGAGTAAATAGTAGTAGAACAGTAGCGTAGATATCTAATTTTAAATTAAATAAAAGTTTTTACTTTTATTTAATTTTATTTACCAAAAAGTTTAATTTTCTATAAAGTTTAAATAAAAAATATCGGTGTTTTTAACTTTTGTGATATCTCTTGGGAGTGATAACACTAATCGACTCGACTGAACAGAACTTATTGTAAAATAATAATATCTATATAAAACATTGTTAATAATAGTAGTTATTCAGCGAGAATGACAGTGACAGTTTCAGTTGACATCCTTCCCTAAAACATTAATAATTTTTGTCCTATCAAGAAGTGTGTTTATACCCTGTTTTCAAAGATATATAAGCAAAATGAGAATATCTACAATTAAAATAGAAATAAAGGTTTCAACTAACACCTAATAAGTACTTACTATCTACTCAGAATCGCTGTTATCACTCGTATCACTCGTATCATCTAAATTTATATGTAATTTGGTTAATGCTGGTAAATATTTAACATAGTTATTTTCCACTCCGATCACATGTTTTATTTTTATTACATTTTTCCAGTTGGTTGCTGTAATTTTTGTGACTTCTCTTCTAATTAACTGGAGAACAGTAGACAAAAAATTTTGGAGCAACGTTTCTTCTCATTATATTTCCTCTAAGTTGAGCCCATATTAACTCTATTGGGTTCAATGTACAATAATAAGGAGGAAGTCTAAACACAGTATGCCCGTTACTACGAGCACAGTTGTCAACAACATATTCCTTTTCGTACTGTTTACTATGAACAACCTCCAACAATTGCTTTTTAATATAAGATGTCTCAAAATACAAATCTTCCGTGAATAAAAAATCCTGAATTTTTAATTTATGCCAACTATTATTTGAAGTTTTTTTCATTAATCTTAAATGATATGATGCGTTGTCCATGATAATCACACTATCTTTAAGTAATTTCGGAAGAAGACATTTTTCAAACCATGATTCAAAAATTGAACTTTCCATATCGTCATGATAATCCAGAGACGCGTTTTTAATTTGTTTTGCAGATATTAATAATGCATCGTCGACCCATCCATTTTATTCACCGCAGTGTAAAATTATAATTCTCTTTCTTTTATTGGGCGAAACTGAGTTGAAACACTTTTTGTTATTATTTGTCCAACTTTTTTTTCACGGTGTCATGAGTATCATACCAGGTCTTATCTAAATAAATAATATTTCGTTTAATTTTTCGATACTCAGTTATCTGTCTGATATAATTGTTTCTTAAAGAAATTATTCTAGTTCTTTCCATTAATGTCTGTCTCTTGTCTATAGTTTTGTACTTAAAATTATTGGCTTTAAGAAATAATCGAAGTGTTGTTGCTGAACACGATAGAATGCACTTTCGAACTAATTCACTTCGAAGGCTTTCAATAGTTGGAAAAATATTAGCCGCATAAATTTGGTATATTCTTCTAGTTATAGATTCAATTAAGTGCGGTTCTATTTTTCTGAATTTGCCACAATCCTTTCTCTTCTGTCTAGAAGAAGATGTTTCTCCTATAATTTTGTAGTGAGTTGCTTTGGGCACTCGGTTAAAAAACATGTTTCTGCAATTGCTTCTGAATTAGACAATTCAGCACACATTCCTTCATAAACATTTTTTAGCATACGTTTGGCATCATCAGAAAGGTATTGAAAATGTCGCTTACGTTTTACTACACGCCTTTGTAAATCTTCCAATCGATTAGAGGGTTCCATTGTTTCATTGTTCCAAAGTTTACAATAAATGTATATTTAATAAATATATTCCCAAGAAATGGACCACATTACGCCTATGCACATATAGAACTTCGAACGAATAAACTAAAATATCATATTTCTCTCATTCCCATTCTTTCTAAGAACGTCAATATATATATATATATATATATATATATATATATATATATATATATATATATATATATAAAGACCAGAGTAATATTGATAAGTTTATCGATGCTTCAAACTATTCAGTGAACTTGTCGAACTATACACTCGTGAATGGCACCAATTTGTATGGTTACGGGGGTAAATTTTATGGGACTATCTTAATTTTTCACTTATTTACATGGGCGAAGCATACACAATAAAAATGACCCCGATAAGAATTTACTTCTGAGAGTTTTAGTTTTTCTTCTTTTGTTTTTTATAATTTTAAATTTTCTATTTATTTTTTATATTATCCGGTATTATACTGTCAATCTACGAACATTGCTATATTAGACTTTGGTTTATATTTATTTTAAGTAACAAATTTTGATCTGTTCAGTATTGAAAATATTTTTAATCATATATAACATATGTCATGTTGGTATGTTTTTAAATTATCCACATTCCACCGCAGTTGATTTTGGAATTTCAATAATATTTTTTATGTTCTTCTGAGTATCGTTATGTATTTTTATTATTTTCAATGCTCGGTT